GCGCCGTCCCACCCCCACCGCACCCGACTGCGCGCCAGGACTCCCCGGGCCAGCGCGCCCCTCGCCTCGCTCCGCCTCCGCAGCTCCGTTCCGCTCACGCCCCGCCCCAATGCCCTCCCACAGCCAAGGACGGTACGCGCACGCGTCCTGAACCCCAAGCCGGAAAAGTTTTGCATGAGAGATACTGGTTCAAGCTCAGCGCGCTGCAATGCAGGCGGGAACCAGCTCCTCCGTCAGGCATTCGTCCCAGCAGGTCTCCGCAGCTGCAACGCCTGGGTGTGATCATGCAACTGGGCGAACGCGGGGGGTGGAGGGGAGATGGGACCCTTGTGGACCGGGTTGCCCAGGAGGAGAGATGAGTACTCTCCTCCTGCAAACCCGCTTCAGACCCATCAATGTGAAGGACAGAATCAAGGAGTTTGAGCTGTGGAAGGAAGAGGTCACTGCTCTAGAGCTTCATCTTCAGTCTGTCCCACTCTTGCCCTCGCAAATAAGGCCCCGAAACCGGAGGAGCCTTGGAGGCGTTCAGGTCTCCAACTTTCCCAGCCCCAGAAGCTCCGGGAGACCGGAACCAGGCCCGGGTCTGCTTTGTTCCCCACCACCGCGTCTGCTCTCATTCGGTGGCCAACTTGTGTCCAGGAAGACATTGGTCACCGTGAAGCGGAGGACCACAGGCCTCGCCCCTAACAGGGAGCGGTGGCCAGACCTCCCCTGAAGAGAGACGACGGCTTTGCTGCCCTCCTCCCGGGGCCTTTCTCCTTGGCTCGGCTCAGGATTTTGAGGAAAGATGGGAACATGGGTGGAGAGTGAAGGTTGACATGCCTAGCCCCAAACTCCCAAATAGAACGAGAACGTATTCTTTCAGTAGTCTCTCACAATTCTGTGATTTACAAAGGGGTTCCTCACCATTCCCCTGTTCCCCCAGTAATTACCAGCTGTTGAGGTGATTGAAAGGACTCCAGTCTATGCCCCGCCACGACCCCATCGCAGGTGACAGGCATCTCTCTCGCCCAGCACCTTAGTGAGTCCTTTCCCCTAGCTCATTCTCGGAGGCTTGGGGCTGTTTTTTCTGGGGAAGTCCTTCCTGGGGAGTGGTGTTAGGGATTTTCTCTATCGGAAGCCAGGCTCCTGGGGGAGCCCCAAGCTTCCGGGGGGAAGGAGACAGAGCACTGATGCAGGCAAGGGAATGAGCAGCCCCCGGCATTCTAGCCTAGTGCCGCAAAGCCGCAGTCGGGGCTGGACGCCGGCCCTGGTCCTTGCAGGCTCCCAGCCAGACCTCCCGCCCCGCCATGGTATTGAACAGTTGCCTGTCCCCGCGGGGCCGAGACAAACACCGAGGTCACAGAGCACGGCCGAGCGGGTGAAGGGAGGCGCGATTCGTGGCTCCCGCTGCAGCTGCGAGAGCCCGGGAATCCACGCGGGGAGCTGCGGTTTATTCACGTCTCCTTTTTGGTTCTTCTCAACAGCGGCCCCTAAGGGCGCAGTGACGCAGGGTCTCCCTGGCAGCTACACACAGCGCGGGGCGGAGGAGCGGGGACAGCGGACTCATGCTCATCCTGGCTCCTCAAGCCTCCGTCTCGGAGTCTCCCCACTTATCTGCCGCCAACACCCCAGTCCCCGGCTCGCTGTCCTCCCCGCTCCCTTCCGGCTCTCCGGCGCGTGCTCGCTCCCTCTGCGTGGCCTCCACTCCTTTCACCCTCTGCTCCTGCTTGTCGCAATCGCTGTACAAAGGGCTGGGGGCGGGAGTGGGGGGCGGGTGAGGGGAGCCGGGCCCGAACTGGCTGCCTCTGAG